ATTCTTTTTTGTCACAAAACCTTTGGAAGACAAACCTTACAAAAGCTTCATACCTGTGTTTTTCGTATTTTCGGTTCGACTCCTTGGTTGCCATCAGAGGTGGTGGCAGGTCTTTTTGCGGTGTGCTCTCTTACGGGCCATTTTTGGTGGAAGTCATGTGCGATCTTCAAAGCACCAAATCTTCCGGGAATAATACTGAGGAATTCAAAACAACCTACACTAGCCGCGTTACAACTAGACGTAGCTTCATGAGGATTGTTCGTGAATGCTGACGAATCATTTCCAGGAATATGAGCTGTGAAATCTCTTTGGATCCCCTAAATTTTTTTTATTGGAAGGCCAAAAACTACAAAAAATTTAGTATTTGTAAAACGCAGACAACAACTACCTGAGCCAATTCCAGTTCCCTTTGCAAAGCGCGACGCTCACGTCTATTCAACTTTGCTTCTGGATCGCTTAGTTTGGCTAGAATAGCATCGATGGCAATTTTTTTTACTGCATCATCTTCAGAGGTTGACGGCTAAAAACCAATCATTAATCCTATTGAATCACAATGTTCTTAAGTACCTGCTGCTCAGGAAGGGCTTCAGCAATTGTAATCTGTGCAGTCTCAGAAGTGATAGATTCAGCGCAGCTCGCCACATCCACGACAGTGACAGTTTCCACTTCCATGATGTTTACGCTCTCATTCACATTTTCTTCAAAAGCATCCTGCACTACTGTAGCATTTTGTTCATCTAACATAATTTGAGGAAGAGCATCAGCTGTTGATTCCTCTACTACGGTATAGTTAACCTTCTTTTCGCCAGAAGTCACCTAAAGCACAGAGTAAAGTACGTGAGGAAGACCACAAAGAGGCTTTAGACCTCTTCTTGCTTCTTTGCAACATCTGTAGTGCTCCCTGCTTCACAAAGCACATTTTCAACAATGGTCTCTATAACACAAGGCTCTTCCGACTCCATAAATAATCTAAATATCTCTACAAATGTTAGAATACAAACATTTTCAACTTTCCAAAGATTTACTAGGTAAAGTTCGAAAAGTAGAAGCAATTTACTGATATCAAAACAAAAAGAACATGCTTAGTCAAACGTATTTTATTTTTTT